CCCCCTTTCCTTCTCATGATTTCGGTATTTTTGGGCACTAAAATAGCACTGCTGGGGCTGGATTTCCGATTTATTCGTACGGTAATAATTATTACCGTATCTAGAATACTTGCTTGTATAATTACCGTGAGAGTTTCTCCTGGGGATAGATTCTTCGGGTAAAAGCAGTCATCATTCAAGCAAGTAGTCCATATAAGGAAAAACAAAAAGAGAAAAAGAATAACATAAGGGTGCACTTCCTTTCTATGTTACTCTTCTTCCCCTCTTCTCCCCCTCTTCTCTCTCTCTCTCTCTCAATCTCACAAAGGCCCTCTTTGTTTGTAGCTCTGTTCTATATATGTTGTACTTTGTCACATAGCAACAAAAACTTAGTGCGCATGAGAGAGAGAGAGAGAGAGAGAGAGAGAGAGAGAGAGAGGGGGGGGGGGGGGGGGGGGGGGGGGGGGCAGAAGGAAGGGTAAGGGGAGGGGAAGGGAAGGGGAGCATGGGTGTGATGTCCGCAGTGACATAGTCTATAGAAGATTCTACTGAAGACTATTGCCAATTGTCTATCTATCTGTTGTCTATTTTTAAGGGGGGAAAAAACAGAAAAGTCTTTTGTCTTAATTGATCTGTTCCAGGTGAACTGATTCAATTGGCTTGTTCCGACGGTGATGTCCATTAGCATATGTGTCGAATCTGTCGACGATGCTTTGTCTTTTCCTTGATTAAGTATAGACATTGTACTGAGTCTGGGTAATGTGAAGGTGAACGTGCGAAGTGTAGACATTTTACTTATTCAGGGTACTGGCCTCATGGTCTCGTCTGAAAGGTGAACGTGCGAAGTGTAGACATTTTACTTATTCAGGGTACTGGCCTCATGGTCTCGTCTGCCTCTGTGAAAGCCTTTTTCCAATTTCCAAAGGCAAGAGGGGGTACTTCTTTTAGTTAATGTTTTTTTTTTGTTTTTTTGAAGTTGTGGTTTTGATCTGAGTAGGCAGGTTGAGATAATCTTGCCTCCTATTTTGTTAGGCAGGGCTCTCCTGTTGTTTCCCAATGGCTTCCTTCCTCTCATATCTTCTGGCCGCAGAAGAGCACCTCCTAAATAGGATACCGTAGGAGAATATAGGCTTTGAGGCAATCTGGTAGGATATAGTATAGGATGGGAAGTAGGGTACACAGTAGGTGGGGGTAGGGTAGGGTAGGGTAGGGTACACAGTAGGTGGGGTACACAGTAGGTGGGGGTAGGGTAGGGTAGGGTACACAGTAGGTGGGGGTAGGGTACACAGTAGGTGGGGGTAGGGTAGGGTTGGGTGGGGTGGGGTTGGGTAGGGAAGGATAGGATAGGGTGCAATATAGGGTCGGATAGGATAGGGCAATGTGTGGTTAGAGAGCTGAGCACCACTGAAATAGGATACATTAGGAGATCATGGCATGTGTAGGGTAGGGTACACAGTAGGTGGGGATAGGGTAGGGTAGGGTAGGGAGGGTAGGCTAGGGAAGGATAGGGTAGGGTAGGGTAGGGAAGGACAGGGTAGGGTAGGATAGGGCAATGTGTGGTTAGAGAGGTGAACACCACTGAAATAGGATACAGTAGGATATGATGACAGCGATGATGATACCAAGGTTGATGATGATGGCTGATGGCTATTGACAAAAGAGTGTGGAATGATGTGATGGACTATTGTGTGCAGGCACAACTGAGCCGGAAGAGCAGGTTTGCTCTAGGAGACGAGGATGATGATGAAGGCGGTGGCGGTGACGTGCTCACTCACCTTGGAACAGTTATAGACGACTATGAGGACGATGGAGGGGCCAATCAAGATGATGAGGGTTATGAAGATTCGCGTGAGTTCATCTTTGCTGGCTCCTCTTTGACGAAGAGTGTTGCCCATTCCCTATCCTACTTCTGACCCTAGTTCTGACCCAGAATCTGACGCAGTTTCAGACCAAGTTTCTGGCTCACTTTCTGACCAAGTTCTGACTCAGTTCATGACCTAGTCGTGACCTAGTTCTGACCTAGTTGTGACCCTACCATCCTCACCCGAATACAACGTACAATAAGCGTTACTGTTGTATCTAGACTCAAAGATGCCCCAAATACAGCTACAATGACCGTACAGTGCGTTCAGGTGAGGACGGTTATTCTGTGAGCTTCTGACACAATTTCTGATCCTAGTTATGACCCAGTTATCACCTAGTTCTGACCCAGTTTCTGACCTAGCTTCTGGACCAGTCCTGACCCAGTCCTGTCCATGTTCTGACCTATCTTCTGCCCCTTGTTCAGACTAGTTCTGACCTAGTTTGGACCCAGGTAGTTTTGACTGAGTTTGGACCCAGGTTCTGACCTAGTTTGGACCCAGTTTCTCACTCTAGTTTTGACTGAGTTTGGACCCAGGTTCTACCTAGTTTGGACCCAGGTTCTGACCTAGTTTGGACCCAGGTTCTGACCTAGTTTGGACCCAGTTTCTCACTCTAGTTTTGACTGAGTTTGGACCCAGGTTCTGACCTAGTTTGGACCCAGCTTCCGACCTAGTTTGGGCCCAGTTTCTCACTCTAGTTTTGACTGAGTTTGGACCCAGGTTCTGACCTGGTTGTGACCTAGTTCTAACCTGGTTCTGATCTGGTTCGGACTCAGTTTCTGACTGGTTTTTCATAGCTTCACTCTCCTGACACCGCAATCTGCCATGGTTTCGATGGTCCCCGAGGCAACTCCGAAGACTTGCAACTGAGCATCGCACAGACAGAGTTTGGGGTGCTAAGATCCAAAGTCAAAAGGAAAACAGCCCAGATCGTACGCTAAGGTCCTAAAGCAACCACCTAGTGGGGAAGGAAGTGAGGACGTTTCAGTTGACGGAAGGACTTGGCACATATGATGGTTGTTGCCTTGATAATTCCATGCACAGAACACCTCGTTGCATGCCTCCAACTACGGACTCCATTTCCCTCAATCATCCACGAGCAGGCTGCGATTACCTTTGACTGAGGAACCCCGTAGAGGCGTGGAAGTCCTGGTAGAGGCCCACTTTGAGCTCCGGTCTTGAAAAGCCTGGCAGAGAGACTGCTTTTCTCTCTCCTGTTTTTGCTTTATTAATTAGTTTGATCCTGTGATGTGCGATCTYTTTKT